CCTCAGATGATCCCACTGCCTTCTTTTCTTTGAAAAATTCAAGCGATTGAGACACTTGGATTTCTCTCACGATATTTCCAGATGCAAAAGCAAGTGTGTCTCTTTCTAATGGATTGAAACAGAATCCAATCACCTGGTCTTGTGTGATGTAGACTGTTTCTGTCTCGAGTGTCTCTTGCTCTTCTGTTTCTTGGTCGTGTGGAAGATGTTTGATTCGCTCTTGTGCATCTCCAATACGCTGCAACAACAGCCAGACTTGTGACCATTCAGTGTCCAAGAGATAGGCTGGAATGGATTTCGTGTGCATCTTGTACTCCTGCCACTTGAGTTCGATGGATTCTGATCTTGCTTGTAGTTCCAATTCCAGTGGTCGCTGCAAGTCATCTGCCAGAAAAGAGACAAGAGAGTACATGTCTGGATGCACATTCACAATTTCCTTGACTCTTTCCACAAATCTGACCAACAGATTCACAAGATATTCCAATGCCAGATGCAAGACCATTTCAACACACAGCATGGCCTGTTTAGAGTCCTTTTTGTACAATGCGACACCGTATTCATCATACAACTCTGATTCTGGCAGTTCTTGGTCATCCAAATGCTGCAAAGGTTCTCGTTCTGTCAAGACATCCTTCAAGAGTTGGAACAATCCAGACTTGTTCTCTTTCAAGAGATGATCAAACAGCTTTTCAGCCATTCCAAGCATCCACCAGATGGAATTTTGTCTCCTGAGCTGACAGCAGCAATAAAAGTGCATGATAAACGATCCAGCACCCACAAAGATCACTGTCTTGTTCTCCAGATCCAGATTCACAAACTGTTTGATCGCTTGCACAATTCTTAAATCAGTCTTTTCTGTCTCCTGTTGCAGTGCTTTGATGGACAGCTGCAGAATGTAGCTGATGAACAAATTGTCCGCGTTTTCAATCAGTCTAAAGTCAAAGCATCTGTTCAAGGCAATAAACGCATTCAGATCCAGAGATTCGATGCAACTCTGTTCAAAGACTTTGTCGATTGTTTTTGGGTCTAATCCAGTTCTCTCAATCAGCAGATTCATACTGCTTTTGATCAATGAAAAGTAGTCTTTGAACAACGTGTCTTGCAGCTCATTTTGGTACTTGACGACAGTCGCACAAGAGAGTGGAAGTGATTGTACGGTTCTCAGTCCAAGCAGCCACTTGTAGTACAGCAACTGCCGTCTGTTTCTCTCGATTTGTTCTAATTCGTCTTTTGTCACTTTTCTTGGTTCTTGTGGTTTAACTGAGACAAACGTATGCGTTTCTACTTCTGGGATAGTGGATTCCATCTCTCCCCAGTCCAGTCCTGTTGACTTTGTTGTCTCCATCTCTCCCCAGTCTAGTCCTGTTGATTTAGGCTGTTCCATCTCCCCCCAGTCTAGTCCTGTTGATTTAGGCTGTTCCATCTCTCCCCAGTCCAAGCCAGTGTTCTTTGGAATGGTCGTTTCGAGTTCTCCCCAATCCAAACCAGTAGACTTGGGCTTCTCTGGTTCTCCCCATTCTAATCCACCACTGTTGGCATTCTCTGACACTTGGGCATCCAAAGCAACGGCTGTGGCTTCTTCCAACAGCTGAACATCCTGCAGACTCTCTAACTGATGCTGATGAATGATATCCAGCGCAAGAGAATGACATCCCAATCTCTCGTACTGAGAAGCACACTGCAACAACAGATCGTGCTCTTCCTTTGGATCTAAACTAGGATGCGACTCCATAATCAGTGTCTTGTACACTTTTTTCAAGTGTTCGTACAGATACATGATGGCTGGATCATTCACTTGCAGGATTTCATTCGATGGTTCGTCAAGGCTCTTCAGCGGTCTACATACACAGTAAAATGCCTTCTTGAGATCTTTCACAAGTGTATAGAGCATACACAGCTGCCAACGATCACCATCCTCAATCGCTTGTGGAATCAATTGGTTCACAATCAACTCTTTCAACACCGGTCCTTCTTCTCCCTCATACAATCTGCAAATCAGAATCGCTAATTGTGGATCTTGGAGTTGCTTCATGCACACATTCACTGCATCCTTCAACTTGCCTGCGAGTAAAAAGAACGAGACTGCATACTCGTATCGCTGCTTTCCCAAGAGCGCAAATGCATTCTTCATGGCTGCATTTTGCCATCGTTCTTGTTCAAAGTCATTTTGGAGGAACTTGAGCATCATTTGCTGTTCTGGATGGTTTGAGACTTTCCACAGTCCCAACAACACGTTCTTTCGCTTCAGAGCCAGATAGAACAGAGAGCATGCGGGTGGATCTCTTGTGTCATCTCTTGGTTGAAACTGTGCACGTGCAATGATCTCAGCTTGCTTCTTCAAGGTTTCTGGATTTCTGATCCACCAACCCAATCCAAGCTGTTTACATGTTGGCCACACGAGTTTTGACGATTGAGAGATCAGATTCAAGAGTGTGTCTTGCGAATCTGAAAAAAACGCAAAACAAGCATCTCTTGTCGTGACTTGTCCAGATCCCAGCGCCATCTTGGCAGACAACAAGTAGCGACTGGCATTAGTGTCCATGGATTTCACAAACTGATCCAATTCTTTAAACGTGGAGATGAAGGATTTCAGCTTTTGGTTGGTTTCTTGGTCAAAATCTTGCAAATGACCAATCAAGTACTGTGCCTTGTCTTCGGTAAACACCAAACTGGACTTCTTTTGTTCCAGATCATCAGAGAACAGCTGCTCCTTGTCTTCTTTTGCTGTTGGATCAGCATCCAGACCCAAGAGTGCCCACAAGGCCATTGGCACTTGGACATGTCCCAGAGACGTAAAGAGATGCAGAACACTGAGATTGTACTTGACGAGATCGTACTTTTCAGCAATCACATACTGCATCAGCAAGAGTGGATGATGGTCTGGGAGTCTGCCAGATCCTTCCCATGTCTTAAGCACCAGGCTTCTGTCTTCGTTCAGGTTCAAGAGAGAGACCATGAGAGATGTAGATACAAAGAGTGTGCTATCTGGTAGCCAAGTCAAGGATCGAATCTTGTCCTTGAACTCAAATTCCTGAAAGAGCTGCATCTCTTGTCTGCCAAGATAGTACACTCTGATCTTGTGTTCCAGTACAATACACAGCACTTGGTAGCCATATTCTGTCGTGTGCCACTGCATATCCACAAAAATTTGATCCAGTGGAATCTTGGACAGTTCCCGTAAGTGCATCTGGAGGGTATTGTTCCAATAAATGATCACTTGGTCTTTGGATCTACAAGCAATCATGCCTAAGCTCGAGATCTTGACTTGTTCCATCTTTAAAGAGAGAATGGAGCGTTGCTTGTCATCAAAGTAGTCGATTCCTTGCTCATTCAGCACATAGAAACTCAGTGGTCTGGATTCAAATGGTCGATAGAATGTATCCAGTCCAAGAATCTTGCCATTCACTGAAATCTCTTGCTGTTCAACGATTTCAGTGTCTTTCATGGTGTAGACGACAGTTTTGTGTGTCTGGATAACCAAATAGACTGTATCGCTGGATGAAAAGCATTGCAAGTTCACTAATGGTTCAGATTCAAACAGCAACTGTCTTTTCATGCCCAAGAGACCATCAAAGTCAAACAAGAACACTTTTCCATCTGCATAAACAAACGCAGACACTTGCTTTGGATTCCAACAAAACAAATCACACTTGGGTACCACGCAGTAATGCGCCATGCCGCGTTCATCTCGTGTGCCAAAAGTCTCAAAGTAATAGACACTCGCACCCGAATCTGTGGTCATGTAAAAGTATGGCAGCAGTGGGTGTCTCAAAATACTAGTAAATGGCTCTTGTGGTCCTTCCCACTCAAACAAGATCTGCAATCGTGGTGAGATCCATGCCTTTGTAAAGAAATCATCTAAATCAAAACCATAGCATCGTGCTTGGTTCTGACAAGCAGACAAAAAGTACAGCACTGGCTTGGAAGTCGAGACGATCGAAAACGGATTCGACACGTACTTGGAAAAGAACAGTGCGTCTTGCAAGAACAAGGGATTTGTCTTGAACAGCAACTGCACATGTGTGGATGTCTGTGGATGGGTTCCTAGTCCTTTGATGCCCCAGATCAAGAGACAGCCCTTTTGGTTGATCTGAAAGAGCATGTCTGGGTATTCTGCTGCTGCATCTTTCAGCATCATGTTCTTTGTCTGTCCCTCCACTGCTGCTGTAAAAGCTGGTCCACTCAGCCAGTGTACTTTTTCAACAACATCCACATGCATCGCTGACAGTCGCTCTGTTGAGACAATGGGAGACAGATTGTCATAATCAATCACAGAGGCAAGATCGAATCTGCAAAACTGTCCTTCTGGTCCAAAAGACGTCATCTCCCACAAACGCGATCGCGAATGAGAGCTTGTCAACAGCACTTGCCGCTCTCCACTTGGTCTCCACGAGAAATCAAGAATGGGAGAGTAACTTCCAATGGTACATAGATCCAACAAGCTCTTGCCATTCCATCCACACTGTCCATTCAAAGGTCTGCAGTAAAATGCAAGGAAATAGGGATACTCCTGCTATCAGCATTAGTACTTGAAACAGAACACCAATAAACTGCTGGTTAGGCGACCATTGTGCTTTCAAAGGCACACTTGGAAGCGGAATCTCCATCACAGTCTTGTCATCTTCTAGCACCAACAACTGTGCACATCCTACCAACAATAATCCATTCTGATCATAGTCCAGAAACTGAATGTCTCTTATCGGTAATTTGATCAAGATGTTCAACGTGTCTCCCCCTTGTGCAAGATACAGTCCATCTTTTGTTGCAAACGCAATCTTGTCCTTGAATACACTCAGACAGCGAATGGGTGCATCCACTTGCAAGGAGTGGATCACTGTGAAATCTGGTCCATAAACTAATAGTGAGTGCAAGGAGCAAGTGACAAAACAAGTCTTGTGTGTCACTTGTGCTGCAATCGTTGGGTGAAACAATGTGTAGTTTGGTGACAACGGGAGTGTTTTCATCTGGAAAGAACTGATTTTGTGCAAAAAAGCAAAACGCGAGCCCTCCGAGGATCGAACTCGGGGCACAAGATTCGAAGTCTTGTATTTTACCACTAAACTAAGGGCCCATGATCGAAGAATTTTTCGACAAAAATACTATCTTGAACAATACCCCACAAATTATGTTTGAACCTTTATACTTGAGTGTCATGAATGAAGAGTGTGATTGAGATTGAACGCAAAGACTGGATTTCTTTGCCAAAATGACCAAGATCACTCTCTTTTACGACGTTGTCTCGCCATATTCCTACCTAGCATTCGAAACGCTGATGCGCTACCGTCGTATGTACAAGGACCTGGATGTGACACTCAAGCCAGTGTTTCTAGGAGCGATTATGAAGGCATCTGGAAACAGTCCACCAGCAACCAATCCAGCCAAAGGAAAGTACATGTTGAAGGACGACATTCCTTCTAACTCCAAGGTTTTTGGAGTCAATCTCAAGCCACCCAGCAACTTTCCGTTTCTGAGTTTGTTGGGGCAGCGTTTGCTTGTGTGGGTCCAGTTGAACCATCCTGACAAACTGGAAGACTGTACACGCTCAATTTATCAGTTGACGTGGGGTAGCGGCACTGAGATCTCAGATGCAGCCATTTTGGAACGCGTCCAGAAACACATTCCCCACAAGCCAGAGATCACTGACACAATCAAGCAGAAACTCATGGATCAGACAAAAGAGTGCACTGACAGAGGTGCATTTGGCCTTCCATGGATTGTTGTCACGAAGAATGGCAAGGAGCATGTGTTCTTTGGCAGTGATCGCTTTGAACAGATCTTTTACTTGTTGGAGAAGCCTTATCCTGGTGTAAATCCAAAACTCTGATACTGCAAACGCCTGACAATATTGGACAACATTAAAATACTGGGCATCATAAAAGAATGATATTGCACAACATTACGGCTGACACATCCTGACTCTGAAAGAGATTGAGACACCAAAATGAACAGACAGTCCTGCTACGCTGGCAAAGAGATCAGAGTCTGCATGCCATCCAAGATACTGCCACTGCTGCAATGCACCAAGCACTGGATGTGTTTCCTGTGTGAGCAGTCGGTACACTCACTCACATTGGGTCTCTCTCTAAAACATCTGACTCATCTGTTCGCTGGTGGCTGTGTCTGCAAGGATGTACACTGACCATTCGATCTGCAATGTTCTACAACTTGTCGGTCGTTTGCAGTGTACTGCAAACAATGCTCCAATGCCGGTTCACAACGAATATTACGGTCTTCAAAATGAATGACCGCCTTCCTTGTAAGAAGTGGGCACACAAATTTCAAGTGCAACACAATATACCCACTATAAGGGCAACAGAGCCCCAGCCCTTTTGGGTAAAGCTCTGCATTGTCTGTGTGCATGCTCAGTCACTGGTGTGCCTCTTCTGAAGCAGATCTGTCGCTCTAGTCCGCGACATTGATCTAGCAGCAACTGGAGCATGTTTCGCGCAGCATTCGTGTCTCTGCTCGCTGTCATGCTATGGCATTCACTGTTGGTGCAGTGCAGCACGGAGTGTACCTTGACTTTGCGCTCTCTTGGTTCTGTGTTGCCCTTCCACTTGGCCATCTTCCAGGAGATCATGTTCTGCATTCTGAAGAGGCAGTCCAAGTGCAGCTTGCTCGTCCGATGCTCGTCCACGTCGACGACGGTGCATACCAGATAAGAAACGACACCAGAGCTTGACACTGCCAACAACAGCGATTGGTGAAGAACGCTGCCTCGCCAACGAAGACGAGCTTGTTTCTGTTGAAATCACTGGCGAGATGATCCAAGAATGCGCGCTGCCGGGTTGTGTCTGCCTCGTTCTGAATTGGGTTTGTTGCATCCGCTTCCACCATCTCAGTGTTCTCTCATGAACCATCCGCATTCGTGAGCAATCCCTCATGCTGCTACCGAAAGCCAGCGTGTTGTTGAAGACTAGATGCCTGTCAGCAGAGTACATGGTGAAGATAGTAGAATGGTGCCATTCCCTCGAAAAGGCGGACATTACTTTTGCAACTCGTAAAGTTCTTCGGTGGCACTTCATTCATTATTCGATAGTCACAAATGCTCATTTCCTGTGTTGCTCAGACTACCGAGCACGGCTGTAGTCCAAACAGTGACTGTGTTGGAGTTGATTGGCAACACTCTGAGTGAAGGCAGATGCTGGAGATCACAGAGTGACTGTACAAGAAGAGGCATTCATACTCTATGACAAACAGCAGCCACCAGAGATTCAAGGCGATGTGAACTGCATGTGTGAGGACCAGGATCTTGACCAATAGACACACAAATAGACTAATTATAAGCCAGGTTATTCAGTATGCCAAAACGCGACAAACAAGCGCTGCAATTTCGCGGTAAAAGCGCAGTAAACGTCCGAAAATGTTTTCCCTCCAATGGACTTGCTCCAAAAGTCTAGAAAATACCTCACTGACCTGGTGTCCAAAGAACAAACCAACCATGAAAGCCCTACGTTCTCTGTTGATTTCTTTGGACAATCCATTATCATGGCGGATGAACAGGGGCAACTGATTGTTGCAGACACAGACATGTCCATCAAAGCAAAGATACCAGCACACGACAACTGTATCTTTGACACCAGTGTCTCTCGGACACGCGTTTACTCTTGTTCTGGAGATCAGACTGTCAAAGAGTGGAATCCAACTGATTTTCAATGCACAGGGACATTCAAGGGACATGAGCACACTGTCAAGTCAGTGCAAGTGGATTTACAAGACGAGAACAGGTTTTGTTCAAGTTCTCGTGATGGCGTTGTGTGCTTATGGGATAGAAGATGCCAAACAACCAAACCCATTACTTTATACAAAGTGCCAAAAGTCGTGGATATTCAGTGGAATGGCAACACACTGTGCACTGGTGGTTCGGACGGATTGATGCGATTTTATGACATTCGCAAGAAAGCACCAGTCAAGAGTGTGAATCTGTTTGAAAACTACAAGCGCAGCTTTGGATTGAGTTGCTTAGTCAGTGGCAACAACCTCGTTTTTGGATCTAGTTTGTGTGGCAAGATCTTTGCTGTGGATTGGACGATGATGGATCTCATCCACACTTATTCCAGTCCCAGCTTTGCGATTGGCACGTTTTATGTCAAGAGTGCCGTCAGTCCTTGTCAACGACACTTGATTTCTGGATCTTCGAATGGAAGTGCCTATATCTGGGACATTGACTCTCCATGGCATGCACCACTTGTACTGCAAGGACACACAAACGAAGTCACCGGTGTCGCATGGTCTGATGGAGATATCCTGTGCACAAGTTCAGACGATCTCACATCGCGTGTTTGGAAGCCACTGCGAGACAAACAAGAGCGCGACAAACTGAATGGAAGGGCAGATGTGGGAACAGTCACACCAGAATCATGTGCACTCGTGAATCTTGAATACGAGCCACCAGCACTGAAACCACATGTGTTGACGTCTCAGTGTACCATCAAACAACTCCAACACAAGAAGAGGATTGCCAAGACACCCAAGTCAAAGTCCAAAAAGCACAGGACGCTCTTGGACTATTTCTCATCTCCGTCAAAGGAAAACATCAAAAACTAAAGTCATTGGAAATCAATCTGTTTTAGAGAAGCTAGAGTAGCTGAGCGATCCAATCTACGAGAATGCCACCAGATACAATCATTCCCAGGTGGATATTGGACACAAACTTTGTCCAGCAGTCCTTGACAGACGTTGTGTCCAGTGTGACGAGTTGCCAGATGTAATGTGACAAGGCGCCACCGACAGAGATCAAATAATAGGCTGGACCCGCACCAGATAGGTAGCCAGCGAGACCAAGAAAACTGGTGGATAAACTAGCAAAGAATCCCATGATTGGCTTTGAATTGTCGCCAAACAAGAGCGCTGTTGATCGAATACCAATCTTTTTGTCATCCTTGGTGTCCTGAAGTGCATAGATCGTGTCATACACCAATGTCCAACAGACACCAGCACTATACAAGGCAAGAGACCATGCAGGGATAGCACCAAGCATGGCACTGGCTCCCAAGAGACATCCCCAGTTGAATGTCAGTCCAAGCACAAACTGAGGCCAATATGTGACACGCTTGAAGAGCGGATACGATGCCACCAATGGCAGAGATGCCGCACCAACTAGAATAGAGTACCAGTCAAACTGCATCAGCACTGCTAGTCCACCAAGTGATTGCAGCCCAAGAAAACCAACAGCTTGTGGAACAGTGACTTGCCCACTTGGAATCGGTCTCGTCTTGGTGCGATCTACTTTGCCATCAAAGTCCCTGTCCCAAATGTCATTGATGGTGCATCCAGCTCCACGCATGAGAATGCTACCGGCCCCAAAGAGTCCCAGTGTATACAGCGTGTGTTCTGGAGTCTGATGCGCCATAAGAATCGACCAAGTACATGGCAGGTACAGCAGCCAAGTACCAACTGGCTTGTCAAGTCTCGCCAGCATCCAGTAAGGTTTCAGTCGATCAGACAACGTCCTCTTTTCAGTTGACATCCATCTGATCCTCTTCAGAAAGTAAGTCTTGTCTATGTGAACTGCAAATCTGCTGACTTGATTCCTCAGTAGAATGGAATGCATAGCGCAAAACTTTTTCAACTCGATGTTGTTCCGATTCTGGAGGCGATTGTCGACATTGGTGGAGAGACAAGAGTTTCCATCCATTTCTAGTGGTGCAGAGAGGCAGCAAGTCAAGTGGACACCCAAATCAGTGCGCACTGGGTTGTTGGGACAAAAGAAGGGAATGACGACCATTTGGGATGAATTTGGACAAATGACACCAGTGACCATTCTACAGATACCAGACTGTCAAGTGGTGCACTCGCGCTTCCACAAGGGATGTGATAGCTACATGGTGCAAGTTGGCAGTGGTGCAGCCAGAAAAGTGACGAAACCACTGTTGTTCCATTTCAGGAGGTTCAGAGTGGCTCCAAAGAAGAAGCTTGTTGAATTCAAAGTGTCAGAAGATGCCATTTTGCCAGCAGGTGATCAAATTCATTTCAGGAACACGTTTGCAAGCCTGCCATTTTGTGCCAGGACAGTATGTAGATGTCCAAGCCAAGACAATCGGTAAGGGCTTCCAGGGTGTCATGAAGCGC